TTTTTTTTTTTTTTTTTGCCAGTTCTGGGGCTTGAACTCAGGGCCTGCACATTATCCCTGTGCTGCATTTTGCTCAAGGTTAGCATCTATCACTTGAGCCATAGCACCACTTCTGGCTTTTTCTGTGTATGTGGTACTGAGGAATTGAACCCAGGACTTCATGCATGCTGGGCAAACACTCTACAACTAAGCCACATTCCCAGCCCTGCCCCTGAACTTTTTTGCTCAAGGCAAGTGCGCTACCATTTGAGCCACAGTCCACTTCTGGCTAATTTTGCTAGCTAACTGGAGAAGAGTTTCAGATTTTTCTGCCAGGATTGGCTTTGAACTGTGATTCTCCGATCTCAGCCTCCTGAGTAGCTAGGATTACAGGCTTGTGTCACCAGGGCCTTGCTAAATTCAGAGGCCTTGATACCCACCTGGCTGTTTTTCCCACTGCTAGACCTCTTTTATGACAGAGTCTGTTTCACAACAGTCTGTGCCACACCTTACCGCACTGTTATCAGCTTCTCCCCCTGCCCTGCCCAGCACCACGTTGACCGCATCAGGCATAAGGAATTAAGTGCCTGTGCCCTTTACAGCTGTGACCTTGAGCAAGCTTCTCTGAGCACCCGGAACTAGTGCATTCATCAAGAAAACCACTTAGTGGGGCTGGGAAGGTGGCTCAGTGGTAGAGCGCTTGCCTTGCATGCCTGAGGCCCTGGGTTCGATTCCTCAGCACCACATAAGCAAAAAGAAAAAAGCCAGAAGTGGCACCGTGGCTCCAGTGGTAGAGTGCTAGCCTTGAGCTGAAGAGCTGAGGGACAGCGCCCAGGCCCAGAGTTCAGGCCCCACAACCGGACCCAAAAAAAAAAAAAAAAGATTTGGACTATGAAGCTTCGATTCTTTTTTTTTTTTTGTCGGTTGTGGGGCTTGAACTCTGGGCCTGGGTGCTGTCCCTCAGCTCTTCAGCTCAAGGCCAGCGCTCTACCACTTGAGCTACAGCGCCACTTCCGGTTTTCTGGTGGTTTATTGGAGATAGGAGTCTCACGGTCTCTCCTGCCTGGGCTGGCTTTGAACCTCAATCCTCAGATCTCAGCCTCCTGAGTAGCTAGGATCACAGGCGTGAGCCACCAGCGCCCGGCTGAAGCTTCGATTCTGACCCCAATTTAGCCACTGATTATCCCTAGGGGGCACTGATGGCTTTTCCCATGCCTTCAGTTCCCTCAGCAAACAAGTAGCTTTTATACAATGTTGCTATTGTCAACTGTTTTCAAGCAAAATCTTATTCTTTTATTTTTTATTGTTATAAAGGTGATGGACAAAGGAGATACAGTTAAATAAATCAGGAAGAGTACATTTCTTTTTCTTTTTGCCAGTCCTGGGGCTTGAACTCAGGGTCTGGGCACTTTGCCTGAGCTGCTTTTTCACTCAAAGCTAGCACTCTACCACTTGAGGCACAGTGCCACTTCGGGCTTGTTCTGTGTATGTGGTCCTGAGGAATTGAACCCAGGGCTTCCTGCATGCTAGGCAAGTACTCTACCACAAAGCCACATTCTTAGCCCTAGAGTATGTTTCTTTTTGGACAATGTCACCCCTTCCCTCAATCTCTTCCAGTCAAACAGAATCTTTTACAACTCTTAAGAGAAAGTAATGGTGGTCCCATTTTACAGATGTGGAAATGGAACCTAGGGGTTTGAACTCAGTGCTTAGTGCCGTCCCCTAGCTTTTCAAAGCTGGTGATCCTTGAGCCACACACCAGCTTTCTCTTGGTCAATTAGAGATGAGGTCTCATAGACTTTCCTGCCTGGGCTGCCTTTGAACCATAACTCTCAGATCTTAGGTTCCTTAATAGGATTATAGGCATGAGCTACTGGGGCTCAGTGAATAGGGCATATGTTTGTACACACCAGAAGGCCTGGTCTAATGTTAGGCCTGTTGGCAGTGCCTCCTGGGGCTATTAACTTGGCTCCAGGTCCTGTTGCCTCTTCTGGCCTAGTCTGTTGCATGGCCAACTCTCAGACACATAGTATCAGGGGAAGAGTTTGGACTTTGGAACCAGACAGATGAAGCTCAAATCTGTGCGCAAGTCCATCTGGAATGAGGCAGAGAATAAACAAACAGAACCAAATACGTGTATGAACTTTAATAACGTTTCAATTTCCTCATCTCTAAAATGGGATACTACCATTTCCATAAAAAATCTCTTATTGTCAGGATCAAATGAGAAAACATTTATCAGGTACCTGTTTTCTTTTCTTTTTTGCCAGTCCTGGAGCTTGATCTCTGGACCTGGGCACTGTTCCTGAGTTGCTTTTGCTCAAGGCTAGCACTCTACCACTTGAACCACAGTGCCACTTTCAACTTTTTCTGGTTATGTGGTACTGAGGAATTGAACCCAGGATTTCATGCATGCTAGGCAATCACTCTACCACTAAGCCACATTCCCAGCCCATCTTTCTCCACCCCCCTCCCCTCCTCCTCCTCCCCCTCCTCCTCCTCCTCCTCCTCCTCCTCCTCTTCTTCTTCTTCTTCTTCTTTTTCTCTTTTTGGTTGATACTATGTCTTGAACTCAGAGCCTTATATTTTTACTTGACTTTTTTACTCAAGGCCGGCACTTTACCACTTGAGCACAGTTTCCAGTTCATGTTCTGGCTTTTTGTGGGGTAGTTGGTGATAAGAGTCTAAGTTTTTGTTTGACATGGCTGGCTTCAAACTATGATCCTCAGGTCTCAGCCCTCCTGAGTAGCTAGGATTATAAGTGTGAGTCACGATTTGCATCCACAGAACACTTGGCAAAGTCTGGAGACATTTGTGATTGTCGTACTTGTGGATGCTAGTAGCTTTTAGAGAGGAGTAGACAGAGGCCTGCTTACCGTACACCATATACAGGAAGTTGTCCCCAAAAGGCCCTGTGTGGAGAGAACTTGAATTAATTAAATATGCACATAATGTATTCGATATACCTACTATGTCTTTTTTTGGGGGTCTGGTTGTGGGGCCTGAACTCTGGGCCTGGGCACTGTCCCTCAGCTCTTCAACTCAAGGCTAGCACTCTATCACTTGAGCC